ATGGTCAATTAAGTCGTTTAATTTTGGGCTGCGTACGCGGCTCATGCGCAAAACACGTGCGAGCGGCTGTGAGTGACGGTGACCGTATATAAATGCATCATCATCATTCATTCATTCATAATGTACAAATGAAGCTTTTAATGTGATTTAAACTTTAAAAGTACATTAAAATAGAAACAACACAAAGTTCTTCAACATGGAAAGCAATAGAAATGTAGTAACTAAGTCAGTTGAAAAAATTGCAATTGTGTTTTAAAATACAACAACAAGCACCACGAAACCATTTAAAGAGGCGCGTTCAGTGGTCTCCGTGATGGCTTAGGAAACAGTCAACAATGTAAAATGATCTCAAATGTTTTACCAAATGATCATAATCACATCTATTCATTTTACAATCCTGCTACTATCATTTTATTCAGACTAAAACCCCTTTAATTCGGGTGAGAAAGCAGGGGGTTTTTTTTTTGAGTGGCTTTTGCACATCCTATCATGGCTCTGCTCCGGTTCATTCGATGTAACATTAAACATAGGTAAACAATTTTGGCAGTCATAGCTGGTCTGACGGTAAGTCGTTAGATGCTAGAAAACTACATAAAGCATTGCCCTAATTTGCAGACTGCGTGCCGCTGCAATGGACGCATTTTGCAGCATTAAGGTTAACGATTAATTGATCGTTAATTTAAACGACGATCGATCATGGAAATGATTGAAAATTTACATCCCTAGTTACAATTATTAGAGTCTTTATTATATTAACCAACATTAAAATGCTGCATTAAGGCAAGATTAAGAAGAAAAAAACAGTTGCCTAAAAAAATACCTAATTGGGTCATATTTGGCTATTGGCTAACATTATATATTTTCCATCCCTGGTTATGTCAGTTGAATGGGAAAGTCGTTTCAAAGGCAATGCATGTTTTAACATTTTGATGAAAGATTATGGAGATAAACATTTCTTGTTTACTAATAAATCATGACAATAAGACTAGGAATGTATCTTTAGAAAGTAAACTGACTCGTTTTGTATTTCATCTTGACTTTAATTTCACTTTTTGTCCTGCATAATGCCGTAGCTTGAGGCTAGGCTTGTTACCTGTTTGGCGCTGTTGAGGTCTTGCAGTTCTTTTATTCCCTCCCACAGTACAGAACCAGTGCCAACAGGAAGCCCAATAAACAAACAGGCCCCTGCCAAGGTCTGGTTTGGAGTGGTCTAGCCCCGATTTCCATTTGCCTCCAATTATACCGAGGTCCCCTCATCCTGCACACCTGTGAGATATTACGAACAGCATGTCTGAAGGAATACCTCCCTGGGGTTAGCAAAGCAGCCAGCATATCCAGCTTTGATACCCGATGAAGGAGGAAAGGTTGAATAGTTCAGTTTGGGAGAGGCAGACCGAAGCTGAACAGTACATTTAGTTTTGTTGCTCGGTGGGTTTCTTTCACAGCTGTCTGTTGTTATTGCTCTGAAACGATCAAATTAGGGCAATGCTTTATGTAGTTTTCTATCATCTAACGACTTCCCGTCAGACCAGCTATGAGTGCCAAAATTGTTTACCTATGTTTAATGTTACATCGAATGAACCGGAGCAGAGCCAAAGACTTTCCCGTTGGTTTGTTGAACTCGTTCCATCCTCTTGAATTTTTTTTATGCTAGAACTACCGCAACCTGTTAAGATGTTTTAGGACCATAACCCCTGGAGCGCAGGTTCTGGGAAGAATTATCTTGAATATATTGCTGATTCTCCACTGCTATTAGATGTATTATAATTTTCTTTCAACATGTTTATCTTAATCTACATTCAAGTAGTGCAGAAATGTCCATTGTTTGTAATCTTTATGTCTTTGTCTTTCATGTTTGACCTCCACATGAAAGTGTTGCAGATAGTGTCACGGAAGGTGATTTTACTATTTAATGTGCACAGAAATTCTAATTTGTACAATATGATTATAATTTTCTAAGTGTTATATTATTTCATTGCATCGTACAGCTTTAAGCCAAGGCCCCCCGTTTTCTACAATAATATTTAAAGGACCCCTAGCCAATTTTGTTTTCAAAATTATTTTAATCTCTTGAGTGTTTCTACTTTCTGTAAATAAAATAAAAAAATACAATAATTATATTACATTTCATGATTCCATACGTTTTAGGAGCTGAATGTTCTTCAGGGCTCCCACACTTTAAAAAAAATTATTTACATGACTCTTCCAGTTGTTTGTCATTTACTGAGATTAAGGATTAAGGATTGAAAAAAAAAAATCTAACTTAATTTTACCCAATAAAATGTTTTACACATTGGCATAACTATCATAATAAAAATGCCTATAGTGTTTTAACAGTTTATTAATTTCAGTTTATTAACTTTTCTAGGTCTAGTAATCACACTTTTCCAGGTTTAGGTTATATCCAGGTTTTCCAAGACTCTGAGAACCCTGGCTCTTTAAATGTTCTAACAAACCGTTGTTGAGGGGGTACATGTAAAATTTTAGATTTTTAGTTTGTTTTAGTTATTCAGATAATTTAAAAGCTTGTTTTGTCTTATTTATATAATTTTTAAGTAATCTTAAGGCCCACTTGAGTGACAGCTGAGGCACCCCAGTGTTCTTGATAAGCACAAGATCTTATTTCCTGTTGAAACAGGACATTTAGTAAAAATCAAGAACTTGTCCTAAATGTGATGTATGTATAATTTAGATTTGATTGGATCTTTTACTTTTGGATAGCTGTAAAATATTCTGTCATGAGAAAAAAAAAAAATAAATATATATATATATATATATCACCTTATAAAAAAAACTTTTAACTAGGTCTCATGGTCTTGTTTGTAATCGTAATTAAGTTTGGTTCCAGGTGGAAATGCATGATGTTTTTTTTTCTTCTGTCTTTAGGTTTACTTTGATTGTGGCGCCAAGGTGGATGTTGTGGATGTGCAGGGCCTCATTCTGTCACCTGGCTTCCCGTATAACTATTCATCTGGAACTCACTGTGTTTGGCAGTTCTTTGTACCTGTTGGTCATCAGCTAATCATGGAGATGTTTGATTTTGATGTCTTTGAAAGTCACAACAGTCCTGCAAGATATACCACCACATCTGCTGCCATTGTGGATGATGACCCGAATGAAGGTGGCTCGCTGGTTTCAAAAATCCTCGGGAGTCCAAAGGAACCCCAGTCCACACACAGAGAGGATGTCAAGCAAGTGGTGATCCAAGAGCAGTCCACCAAAATGGAGATGACCAAAGTTTCCAATTCTGCCAAAATGCTTTCTGATTCCCTCTTAGCTCCACAAGCATCTCTTCCAGTTGAAAACAGAAATTCTATTTCATCTCCGGCATCAAGAGCAGCCAGTGACTTTATCTCTACAAGCCCACATACAGCCACAGAAACAGATGACGCTTTGAGCACTGAGACCCAGCCACCTTTGTTTGATGCCTGTCCCCATGATGTCCTCTACATATCTGATCTCATCACCTTCTCCTCCCGATTCTGTGGCTCTAGACGCCCTTCTAGCAGCCAGTTGGTGTTTGGGTCTGATGATGACATGGTGGAGGTCGTTATGGAGTTGATTACCACTACTCACTGGGGCCGTGGTTTCGCTCTCCTCTTCCATTATCAGAATCAAACACAGGCAGCCACAAGAGAACAGCAGAGATCGCTAGTGACCTCGGACAGCAGAACTGGTGCACTGCTCGGTGCTATAAGTGGAACAATTGTGTTTGCTGTGGCCCTTGCTGGCATCCTCTGTGTGATTTTCAGGTAAGGATGTTTCTTCAACAGGTGGAGAGATTTACTTGCAGTTGATCTGAAATCAGTTGATCTGCCATGCAAACATATCTGTCATTCTGTTGCTGGGTGAACCAATGATGGACATGTTTATATATAATGTCTACATTAATTTTTATATATATATATATATACTGCTGTTATTTTTGGAGTCAGTAAAGTGTTTTTTTAAGATATTAATACTTGAGTAGGAATGCATTAAATTGATCAAAAGTGACATTAAAGGCGTTTTATAATGTTACAAAAGATTTCTGTTTCAAATAAATGCTGTTCTTTTGAACTTTCTATTTATCCTAAGTATATAAGTATATAATTTATAAGTAACACAACTGTTTTCAATCAGCATATTAGTATGATTTCTGAAGGATCATGTGACATTAAAGACTGGATTAATGCCTGATGAAAATTCAGCTTTGCCTTCACTGGAATAAATTACATCTTACAATGTAATAAAATAGAAAATAGTTATTTTAAATTGTAATAATATTTCACAATATTGCTGTTTTCACTGTATTTTTGATCAAGTAAAAGCAGCCTTGTTTGCATTTAAGAGATTTCCTTCAAAAACAATTAAATTATGTATAATTATGTGACATTTATAATATAAATGTCATCGTGACATTTAATTCTTCGTATTCAGCATTTCATAACTTCGCTCTACGTCCATAACTAGCTGTCAGTATCACAGTTATTCTCTCATTCATTCACTTTAGAATTAGTCAGATGTGGCATACACAGTACCATGTCCGTGACAACCTAAGACAGATGAGTTTGTGTTGACACAGCTGGAGGTATTTTTCACCATTGTTGGCAGCTTAAATAAAGTCTTTCTTCTCCTTTTTCGAAAACACTTTGATGTTAAAACACTATTCATACCTGAGCATGTTCTTCTTGGTTCCGCACCTGGCATTAAACTAAATGCACAAAAGCAAGGTGCAGTCACACAATACAGCGAAAAGAAAGCGGAAGAAATAGAAGAAGCCGAGAGAAAGGGTAGAATAGAGAAAACAATAGGCCATTGACCTTAAAGATGTTTCAATTGTTTGTTAACACACAAGCATGACATTTTAAAGAATCCATCATGTAAGATTCATTCTTGGTTGGTCCCAATGGGAATAACAGTGTGACTTTTGACACTCACAGAACTGATTTATGAAGCCCAGAGTTACTGCGCAGTTTGTCTGTGTGGAAGTAATCATTGCCAGTGCCTTTTATTGGCTCTGTTTACACCTGGTATTAACATACATCTTAGGTGATCCATTCTCATTGAAGACAGATTTTAATCATGTGTGAACGGGGCCATTTCATTTTTTTTTTTCCTGTTATGAACATAATTTGTTTTGTTTATTTACTTAAATTGTTTTTGGCTTTTAACAATACAATTTAAAATACAATTTAAAACGTATAAAATGAATGTATGCAAATAAATTGTCATAAATTTTAAAGGGGTCATATGATTTCAATTTTTCCTTTCTCTTTGAAGTGTTACAAGCTCTTGGTGCATAAAGAAGATCTGTAAAGTTGCAAAGACTAAAGTCTCAAATCCAAAGAGATATTCTTTATAAAAGTTAAGAGTCAACCACGCCTACCTAAAATGGCTCGTTCTAACACGCCCCCACATATCTACGTCACGATGTGGGAAGATTTGCATAACGCCGCCCAAATGTTCACGCAAATAAGGAAGGCGTAACTTTTATTCTCGCTGTAGTACTGTTGCCGCCGCCATGCCATCTCACTGTGTTTCGTTGTGAAAGCGAAACTACTTTGTTTGGCTTTCCAAAAGAGGACGATATCTGCTTCGTCATGCCTAGAGCTGATCCGTGCTGTTCGCTGAGGAAATACATCAACCTTGCGCGGAGGATGGCCGGATCGGCTTTCACCGTGGACGAAGCGGAGTCCAGCCCAGGGTCGTCACATTTGGTTGCCGCAAGCCCGCCGGCCGCTCCTTCGTCGAATCAGCCAGTCGCGCCGTTCTCAAGCTCACCGGCCTCCTCTCACTCAGCCCGCCGGCCGTTCCTCACTCTAGCCGCCGGCCTCCGCTCACTCTAGGCCACCGCCGCGTGTGACGCTGTTTCGTTGTGAAAGCGAAACTACTTTGTTTGGCCTTCCAAAAATGGACACGACTAGAAATCAGTGGTTAAGTTGTATTTACAACACTGTTCCAGAACACTTCAACCCAAATAATCAGATGTGTGCAGCACATTTTATGGAGGACTGTTTACTGATCCTGGGAGAGTAACGTTAGACTAAAATGCCGGCAGTTCTGACTCACGTAAGTACGTTTTCTTTTATCATTTGCCACTGATGATTCAAACGCGAGTTTTGAGCAGTGTAGAGTAGCGCTTGTTGTTTGTCATTTCTCCGATCACAAATGCAGACATGGTTTTATGTTACGCTCCGGCCTGACAGGGCATCACAGTATGGTAA